AGTTTTTTTTGATATATAAAAGTCACATAATCCAAATCTATCAAATAATCCTGTTTCTGCCATTAGTTTTTATGCTTGTCTTCCTTATTCTGTGTTCATATGAAACAGAAACCTGTTTTTTTATTTTCAAGATCTTTTATGATTTCGTGTTTTTAATTTTAATTCATTCAATTTTAATTTATTTTTGTGTACACTTTTTTTAATTTTTAATAAAATATATATTTTATTGATTTTTTACAGAGAGGAAGAGAGAGGGATAGAAAGTTAGAAACATCGATGGGAGAGAAACATCAACCAGCTGTCTCCTGCACACCCCCTACTGGGGATGTGCCTGCAACCAAGGTACATGCCCTTGACCGGAATCGAACCTGGGACCTTTCAGTCCGCAGGCCGATGTTCTATCCACTGAGCCAAACCAGTTAGGGCAGGAATTTCACTTTTAAGTCCCCTTTAGTAACTGAGGAGGAGGTTCAAACCATGCTGCATGGACAGCTTTCTAAATTCATTAGTAATTCCAAGTGTCTAAATGGCCTCCACGGCACAAAAAACTGGATTATCATGTCTCGATAGCGAGCACCATTAACTGTTATTGCCTGAGCAGCAGCATTTCGGTCATGGAAAATTTCAACAAAAGGGAGCGTATGTGCCAGCAAAGCCCTGGAGGCCATTTACCCAATATGGTATTCCATACATAACCCTATACTGTATACTTTATGAATCAATAAAATACTTACAATTTTTAATTATAAACCTGTGTTTTCTATCAAAATTACTTCTTGAGTGAATTTTGGGACACCCTTTATTTATATAGGTCATATAATCGAATTACATCTTATTGGTCATGTCACATAACAATGTGGAGTCTGACTGGTTAATTTTTGGCATCAGAAATACTTATGTACAAGTATAGGCACCTGATTTTTTAAAAAATTACTTTGGAGCTAAAGGGTAGGTAATTGTTATTTTATTTTGGTAAATCGATCAAAATTATACTTACATTTTTTGCCAAATTGACAAAAATATATATTTTTTGGTGTGCCGCAGAATTTTAGTAATCATTGATGTGTGCCATGAGATGAAAAAGGTTGAAAATCGCTGCAATAGGACATTAGTTCTTTCTCTTTCTTATTTTATAGATGTAACGATGAGATAAGGTAAGGATCTGAGCATGTGATTATACCAACAGATGGTAGGTCTTATTTGCTAAGCAAGAGTACGCAACTGCCCATCTGTCTTGGCCGTGATCAAACAGGGTATTAGATGTACCAGAATACCAATCTCTCAACAACAGAGTGCCAATTTTGGGGGAATTAATACTGAACCAGACTGTAGGGAATTATAAGGTAAACAGAAAGTATGTTCTCCAAGCTACCAGAGCTCATATCAAAGTCAGGAGATATGCACGGCGGACTATAGAGGGCAGTTGACTTCTTGCTTGTTCCAAAGCATGACTCTAAGCTCTATGAATAAAATGAGAAGCAAAAAGAAGAAATTATTTCTTCTTTTCACAACATTTTGCCATTCTACTCCGAGCAGGCAGAAAGGACAATGGTCATATTTTCTCCAAATCTGCTTCTTTCTCTACTATTCTCTTCTTGGCAAACAGTAACTAATTGAATAGCCCGAGAGTTATCCTAAACTCTTCCTTCTTCAGCCTCACATTCAATTAACGGCCAAGGCCTGAGAACTCCACTCCAGAAGATACCTTGAATCTACCCCCTTCATTCTACTTAACACTAATTTAGTTTAGATCTTTATCACTTCTAACATGAATTATTCCAACTGTCCTCTTAAATGGTTTCCCCATCTTACCTACTTTGGTTCATTTTGCATAGACCTGTTATCTATAGGTAAAATCAAAACTTCTTAGAATGGCCCTTCCTAACCCAGATCCTACCTATATCTCCCATCTTATCTCCTGTACCATACACCTTCCGCCATATACCTCCTAGACATAGGTCAAAGTTACTTTATAGCTACTTGAAGAATTATTCGTCTTTTTTTTTTAAAGTATATTTTATTGATTTTTTACAGAGAAGAAGGGAGAGGAATAGAGAGTTAGAAACATCGATGAGAGAGAAACATCGATCAGCTGCCTCCTGCACGCCCCCCAGTGGGGATGTGCCCGCAACCAAGGTACATGCCCTTGATTGGAATCGAACCTGGGACCCTTGAGTCCACAGGCCGACGCTCTATCCACTGAGCCAAACCGGTTCGGCATATTGGTCTTTCTTAAGGGAGTAGAGCATGATGGCTCTGAGGTCAGTGGTGGATGAGTGATGGACCCCCTCTCCATTTCCTAGCTGTGACCACAGGCAAGTTACTTAACATCTCTGTGCCTTGGTTTTCTCATCTGTGAAACTTATCCCCAGATTGTTACAAGAATAAAATAAAATGGGCACAAAAACCTCACACAGGAAGCACTGTATATTAACTAGGTTTTATTATTACTATTATTTCCTTCACCTTTCCATGTTATACAGTTTCCTCTGTTACTGGGATGCTCAATTGCCATCTTCCTTTCCCAGGCTATGTGGATTCTCTTCACCCTTCTCTACTCTTTCCCCAGTGGCAGGCCCACCTCTGCACGCCTTCTGTCCCTATAGCACCTTATGCTCTGTCCAACTGTAGCACAATCATAGCAGCTCTTCCTGTAAACTAAAACCTCCATGACTGCTAGGATTGGATTTTGTTCCCTGTATAAGCAGGACTCAACATAGGCTCAACAGGCAGAATACATGCATTAAATGTTTGCTGAAGAAACAAGTCATCTCATTCAAGGCCTCATCTGGAAAATTAACCTCTTTTAACCTCTAAGAAAGAGCTATTACCATAGGAGAGATTCTTTTCTTTTAATATATTTTTATTGATTTCAGAGAGGGAGAGGGAGAGGGAGAGGGAGAGAGAGACAGAAACATCAATGATGAGAGAGAATAACTGATCGACTGCCTCCTGCACACCCCCCAATGGGGATCAAGCCTGCAACCCGGGCATATGCCCTTGACAGGAATTGAACCCGAGATCCTCCAGTCCACAGGTCAATGCACTGTCCACTGAGCCAAACTGGCTAGGGCGTAGGAGAGATTCTTTTTTTTTTTTTTTTTTTTAAATATATTTTATTGATTTTTTTACAGAGAGGAAGGGAGAGAGATAGAGAGTTAGAAACATCGATGAGAGAGAAACATCGATCAGCTGCCTCCTGCACATCTCCTACTGGGGATGTGCCCACAACCCAGGTACATGCCCTTGACCGGAATCGAACCTGGGACCTTTCAGTCCGCAGGCCGACGCTCTATCCACTGAGCCAAACCGGTTTCGGCAGATTCTTTATCATTCACTATAAATGACTTCTAAATTTTCCCATAGTGACTCAGCCTATAGAAGCCACAAAGACATGAGTTTTAAAAAAAATCTTAACAACTCTTAAACAGTCTATCTATCTATCTATCTATCTATCTATCTATCTATCAATCAATCAAAGCCTAAGTGACCGTCACAACCGAACAGATGACCAAACGACTGAGTAGCAGGCTGCATGGGGCGACTAGGTTGGCAGGGGGGTTAGTGAGGGCCGACCAAAAGACTGAGCAGCAGGCTGTGTGGGGTGACCAGGCCAGCAGGGGGGGGGCAGTTGGGGGCAACCAGGCTGGTGGGGGCGGGGGGAAGTTGGGGGCAACCAGTCTGGCAGGGGTGGGGGCAGTAAGAGGCAACCAGGTCAGTGGGGGAGGCAGTTAGGGGTGACCAGGCTGGCGGGGGTGGGAGGGCAGTTGGGGGCGACCCGGCTGGCAGTGGGGGCAGTTGGGGGTGACCAGGCCAGCAGTGGGGGCAGTTAGGGGCGATCAGGTAGGCAGGCAGGTGAGCAGTTAGGAGCCAGTGGTCCCGGATTGTGAGAGGGATGTCCGACTGCCATTCCCCGAGGGGTCCTGGATTAGAGAGAGTGCAGGCTGGGCTGAGGGGACCCCACCCCCTGTGCTCAAATTTCATGCACCGGGCCTCTAGTTCCATTAATAAGAATATGATTAAAAACATAACATTCATGATTCATAGAAATGAAAAATGTAATTAAAAATTTTGAAATAAAAGTTAGCCAATGGAAAATCACCTTTCTAAACTCTAGAGACAGGAATTAATAAGGTATATAGGTTTACACAAGTGCTTTAAAATGAGAATTATTATAGAGATCTTAAATCACCAAGCTTATTCTTTTATAGTAACAATCATTTAACATCTCAAGACAACACATATTAAATCAACGTGTAATGTTGACAGTCTTAATGATGGCCCATTTGTTCTGTTAACACTATCACTGCTGCTACTACATATTGCAGCAATTCTTTGCTATAATCTTACTAATATTTTTGTTTAGGGAGATAATTTGAGAAATCATGCGACTTTTATTTTCGTATTTATATTACAGATAGGAGTTATGCTATCCAAAAGAAATATCTTATATCTATGTTTCAAAAGTTACTTAAAGCAAAAAGAAGGCACTTACCACAACTTGTAGCACTTGTTCGTTGTGAAGGGAGGAGGAGGAGGAAGAGGATGAAGAGGAAGAAGAGGATGAAGAGGAAGAAGAGGAGGAGGAGGAGGAAGAGGAAGAAGAGGAGGAAGAATAAGAAGTGGAGGAGTCAGCCATCATTTGTGCTAAAGTCTGCATCAACGTTTTCCCCAGGAGAAAAAAAGAGCTAAACATGGCAATTACACCAAACACCATTCCAAAATTGAACCTGTTAAGAGGAAAAAATTGCGTAAGTGTACAATTTTTCATAATTCATGGGCTAAAAAATTATTGACCAGGCACATTTCATAGCTTCAAAATGTGTAAAAAAATTTCAATACCCCTATCTCTTTTTTCTTATCTGAACTCCAAATCTGTAATTGAAGCACAGGCTCTAGTCTATTTAAGCTGTTCTAATAACTTACATTTCTCTCATAACTGAAGCGGCTGAATATTCTTTCCAATAAAAAGTTATATATATATATATATTTTTTTTTTAATTTCAAAGAGGAAGGAAGAGGGAGAGAGAGATAGGAACATCCATGATGAGAGAGAATCATTGAGTAGCTGCCTCCTGGCATGCTCCCCACTGGGGATCAAGCGTGCAACCTGGGCATGTGCCCTTGACCAGAACTGTCCTTTAGTTCGCAGGTTGACGCTTTATCCACTGAGCCAAACTGGCTAGGGCCCAATAAAAAGTTTTGTTTCCTTTCTTTTGCTCATTTACATAGCATTGTTTTGCTCTTGTTCTCATATAGTTATGAAAGTTCTTTTGGCATTATATAGACATCCATTTTTTTATTTACTGATTCTATTATTTGCATCTTATTTTAGCTATATTTTGTGATGAGCTTAAATACTAACATGGTAAAATTTAATGGTAGTTTTTTTTCCTATTGTTTTAATAATTAGAAGTTACCCTTATATCTATTACATTTTCTAACTTTTTGATAAGTTGTGTTTTTCAAGGAACTTGTCCATTTCATCTAAATGGTTAAATTTACAGGCATAGAATTGTTCAAAATAGTTTCATTTTTAAAAAATGTCTATAGGATCTGTACTAATGTTCCAATTTTCAATTCTGATTTAGTTACATGTGTGATATTTTTTTCTTGATCAGTCATGGTCGGGGGTTTATCAATTTCATTAATCTTTTCAAAGAACCAACTTTTGGTTTTACTGATTTTATCTTCTATACACTTTTTATTTCACTGATTTCTGCTCTTTTATATTTCCTGCTTTTTATTTTCTTTGCTTTGATTTGCCGGTGCATTTACTGCTTTTCGATGATCTATTTACATTTAGCACTACTCCATTTGGAGCTAAATTTTTAACAAAAAGCAATTTAGACAAAGGTCCCCTAACTCCCATATTAGAAATTCTCTCAATTACAAAACCTGTCTGTCTCTAGGGTATCCCAGAGATTATCGTAAACCCTTTAACCATAAATGCTATAAATTCCATGATTTTTAAATGTTTTTTTAAACTAAAGGAGTATGCTTGGCATTGCAAGGGGGGCTCCAGGACCCCCAACACTGCAAATCTGGCTAGCCATTTTTGCACGTGGTTTGTCCATATGCCTTACTGGTTGTTAAATAGTTTTAAAATCCTTCTCCTGGAGAAATATCACACAAAAAGTATAAGGGAAAACAAAAGACAGGAATAGGACCCATATTCCTAAGTGTGATGATGGGGGATAGAATTCTTCAGGATTATTTTCCTAATGAAAAAGGCTCCATAGGTTTTTTGCTTTTATACTAGTGTACAATGTACAGAATAAAGTGAATAAGTCTAAAGTGTACAGCTCACTGAATTTTTACATATGTGCATCCATGTATCTACCATCCAGATGAAGATATAGAACCTTGCCCTGGCTGGGTAGCCCACTTGCATGGAGCGGTGTTCCATGCACCAAAAGGTTGTGGGTTCAATTCCCAGTTGGGGCACATACATAGGTTGCAGGTTTAATCCCCAGTTGGGGCATATACAGGAGACAATCGATCGATATTTTTCTCTCACATCGATGTTTTTCTTTCTCTCACTCTAAATCTCTCCCTTCCTCTCTCTCTAAAATCAATAAAACCGTATCTGTGGGTGAGGATTAAAAAAAAAGAAAAATAAAGAAAATGAAGCATACCATTGGTAAAGCATCCTTGCTTTCCGCCGTCCCCAACTATAAAAGGCACGATTGAAAACAGCAGTTTGCCATCTTATGTGAAAAGGGGAGATGCTCAAGCCATTGTTTTCCAGCCAGTCTTCATAAGAATGCTTAAAATACACAGATGACTAAAAGAGAAAAAGTTCCACATCATTCAATTTTGAAGAACAATTTATAATGTTTAAGAAAATAAAAAATTACTATTTTCTATATAGGAAAGCTAGATACTGACTGCCCAAATGCTAGTAATTTTAAAGCTTTATGTTCATTCCTCAGTTAAAGTAAAGGCCTCACATTAGCTGGTTTGCTGAAGTTAGGGTCTGGCAAACTAGAGCCCATGAGCCAAATCTGGCCTACAGCCTGTTTGTGCACTGCCTATGAACTAAGGATGGTTTTTATCTTTAAGAGATTGTACAAAGACAACAACAAAAATAATAAGAATATGCAACACCCTGGGTGGCCCATAAAGCCTAAAATAGTATCTGACCCTTTACAGAAAAAGTTTGCTGACCTCTGCTTAGAACAGCATTGTCCAAATAGAAATATGTGAGCCACAAATGCCAGCCAAAATTAAGTTTGTGTAATTTTAAATTTCCTTGTAGCCAACATTTAAAAAGTTGTAATTAATTTAAATACATTTTCAACTCAAATCAATATAAAAAATAGTGTACTGGGTGACATCAGAGGAATGGTGGCATGAGAGATCCCTTTGGTCTTTCCCCTTGAAGTTTCAACAATTTCAACAAAGGGCTCCCTGCTCAACGCACAAACATGTCTGAGAAACCGCACACTGAAACATCTAAAGGTGGGCAAGTGGGAGCAAACTGGGAAGGCCGGAAGGGAAAAAGCTGAGACTAGCCACAGATGCAGCCCTGCAGCTGGGATCTCACAAAGGGGCTCAGCCTGGAGAGGGAAGGAATCAGGTTGTGGCCGGCACTCCCTTCCGCCGCGAAAAGCAAAGAGATTTAATGAGCATTCCTGCAGGTGTGGACAGTACAAGCTGCAGCTGAGCCCAGTGACCTGGGCAGGGACAAAGCACAGAGCTGTGCCCTCCGTTGTCTGGCAATCGGCATTCCAGACAGAGAAACAAAGCCACAGAGCCTGGCCACCTTCCCTTAACCTCCCAGAGCTCGCCTCCCTTTACCATTGGTGTTGGGTTGCAGAGCAAATTATATGCATACCCAAGAGCTGGTACTACAAAATCATTTTTTCCCTGACAGGCAAGCTGAGACTAATCCCAGGGTCCGGTGAAGGCGTGGGGGGAGGGGGGGTCAGGGGGCGTGGGAACAATGCAAAGGTCCACCGGTTGGCACTGACAAAAGGGCAAAGCAACAAAAGAGGTGGCCGGGTTCCCCCACATCACCCCACTGCCATGCACCGAGGCTACACTGCCAGCAGCGTATGGCTGCAGGGAACAGCACTGGGAGTAAATAAATGGATAAATTCCTAGAAATAGATAACTTTCCAAGACTGAATCATGAAGAATTAGGAAACTTAAACAGACCAGTCAACAGTGAGGAAATTGAAACAATTATAAAAAACCTCCCCAAAAATAATAGTCCAGGACCAGGTGGCTTTGTTTTGAATTCTACCAAACATTCAAAGATTTGACACCTATCCTTCTCAAACTCTTCCAAAAAATTGAAGAAGAGATGATACAGTGGGGCCTTGACTTACGAGTTTAATTCGTTCCGAGACCGAGCTTGTTAAGGAGCTCGGTAACTCAAATTACTCTGTCAACTCAATGCAAAAAATCGGCAGAGAGACAGCTGGTATCTCAAAAAACTCATTAGTCGGGACACTCCTAAGTCAAGGCCCCACTGTACTTCCTAACACATTTTATGAGGCCAACATAATCCTGATATCAAAACTTGGCAAGGATAACACAAAAATGGAAAACTACAAACCAACATCTCTGATAAATACAGATGCAAAAAATCCTAAACAAAATACTAGCAAATTGAATACAACAATACATAAAAATAACAAAACATCATGATCAAGTAGGGCTCATTCCAGGGCACAAGGATGGTTCAACATATGCAAATCAATCAATGTAATACATCACACTAACAAAGCAAAGGATAAAAATCACATGATCTTATCAATAGATGCAGGAAAAGCATTTGATAAGATACAGCATGGATTTATGACTAAAACACTCAATAAAATCAGTATGGAAAGAAAGTACCTCAACATAATAAAGACCATATAAAACAAACCCTCTGCTAATATACTCAATGGTGAAAAACTGAAAGCTTTTCCTCTAAAATCAGGAATAAGACAAGGATATCCACTCTCACTACTCTTATTCAACATAGTGCTGGAAGTCTAGCCAGAGCAATCAGGAAAGAGAAATAAAAAGCATCCAAGTTGGGAATGAAGACTTACAAGTGTTACTTTTTGCAGATGACATGATTTCATATGTAGAAAACCCTAAAGACTCCATCAAAAAAACTATTACAGCCCTACCTGCAGACTGAAGGGTTCCAGGTTCAAGTCCGGTCAAAGGCACATGCCTGGGTTGTAGGCTTGATCCCCAGTAGGGGGCGTCCAGGAGGCAGCCGATCAATGATTCTCATCATTGATGTTTTTATCTCTCTCTCCCTCTCCCTTCCTCTCTGAAATAAATAAAAATGTATTTTTTTTTAAAAAGAACAACTTCAAAACAAATAAAAACAAACTATTACAGCCCGGACAGCATGGCACAGTGGTTGAGCGTCGACCTATGAACCAAGAAGTCAAGGTTCGATTCCTAGTCAGGGCACATGCCCAAGTTGCAGGCTCCATTCCCAGTGTGGGGTGTGCAGGAGGCAGCCAATCAATGATTCTCTCTCATCATTGCTGATTCTATCTCTTTCTCCCTTTTCCTTCCTCTCTGAAATCAATGAAAGTATTTAAAAAACTATTACAAACAATAAGCAAATATAGTAACGTTATAGGATACAAAATCAATGTACAAAAATCCACTGCATTCCTATATACTAACAACGAAATTTCAGAAAAAGAAATGAGAAAAGATTCCTTTTGCAATTGCAACAGACTGAATAAAATACCTAGGAATAAATTTAACAAAGGATGTGAAGGAACTATATATTTAAAAATCACAATGCATTATTAAAGGAGATTGAAAAAGACACGATAAAATGAAATGATATTTCATGTTCATGGATTGGGAGAATCAACAGTTAAAATGAACATATTACCCAAAGCAATATATAGATTTAATGTAATCCACATCAAAATTCCAATGTCATTTTTTAAAGAAATAAAACAAAAAATAATCAGATTTGTATGGAACTACAAAAGACCTGGAATAGCGAAAGCAGTCCTGAGATAAAAGAACGAACCTGGCCGTAGCTGGTTTGGCTCAGTGGATAGAGGGTTGGCCTGTGGACTGAAGGGTTTGATTATGGTCAAGGGCACATGCACCGGTTGTGGGGGCTCGATCCCCAGTAGGGGGCATGCAGGAGGCAGCCAATCAATGAGTCTTTCTCGTTATTTTTTTTTAAATATACTTTATTGATTTTTTACAGAGAGGAAGGGAGAGAGATAGAGAGTTAGAAACATCGATGAGAGAGAAACATCGATCAGCTGCCTCCTGCACATCTCCTACTGGGGATGTGCCCGCAACCCAGGTACATGCCCTTGACCGGAATCGAACCTGGGACCTTTCAGTCCGCAGGCCGACGCTCTATCCACTGAGCCAAACCGGTTTCGGCCATCTTTCGCATTATTGATGTTTTTATCTCTCCCTTCCTATCTGAAATCAATAAAAATATAGCAAAAAAAACAAAACAAAACACACACACACACACACACACACACACACACACAGAACGAACCTGGAGGTATCACACTACCTGACTTCAAATTATACTTCGCAGCATAGATAATCAAAACAGTAACACAGACCAATGGAACAGAATTAAGAGCCCATAAATAAAACCACATATATATGGGCAAATAATTGTTTACATAGGAGCCAAAAATACACAATGAAAAGAAAGTCTCTTCAATAAATGGTGCTGGGAAAATTCAAAAGCCACATGCAAAAGAAAGAAACTAAAAGAAAGAAACTAGACTACAGCTTGTCTCCATGTACAAAAATAATTCAAAATGGATCTGAAACAATAAATTACACAGAAGAAAACATAGGTTCTAAACTCATGGACCTTGGTCTTGGAAAAGATTTTATGAGTTTGACCACCAAAGGCAAGGGAAGTAAAGGCAAAAATAAATGAATGGGACTATATAAAACTAAAAAGCTTCTGCACAGCAAAAGAAATAAAGAGGAAACCAACTGAGTGGGAGATAGTATTTGCAAACAGCAGCTCCGACAAGGGGTTAATATCCAAAATATACACAGAACTCATACAACTTAACACCAAACAAACAAACAAACAACACAATAAAAAAAAATGAGCCCAGCCCTAGCCAGCTTGGCTCAGTGGATAGAGCATCGGCCTGTAGACTGAAGGGTCGTGGGTATGATTCTGGTCAAGGGCATATGCCTGGGTTGCGGGCTTGATCCCCAGTAGGGGGCATGCAGGAGGCAGCTGATCAATGATTCTCTCTCATCATTGATGTTTCTCTCTCTTCCTCTCTGAAATAAATAAAAATATATTTTTTAAAAATGAGTCCAGCAACAAAAACAAAAAAAAAAGAAAAACAAACAAGCAAAAAAATGAGCCCAGCAGTGGTTGAGCATAGACCCATGAACCAAGAGATCCTCAGTTTGATGCAGCAGGCTCAATCCTTGGTGGGGTGTGCAGGAGGCAGCCAAACGATGTCTCTCTCTCATCCATGTTTCTATCTCTCTCCCTTCCTCTCTCTCTAAAATTAATAAAAACATTTAAAAATAAAAATAAAAATAAATGGGCAGAGGACCTAAACCAGTGATGGCAAACCTATGACACGCGTGTCAGTGGTGACACGCGAACTCATTTTTTTGGTTGATTTTTCTTTGTTAAATGGCATTTAAATATATAAAATAAATATCAAAAATATAAATCTTTGTTTTACTATGGTTGCAAATATCAAAAAATTTCTATATGTCACATGGCACCAGAGTTAAATTAGGGTTTTTCAAAATGCTGACACGCCAAGCTCAAAAGGTTCGCCATCACTGTCCTAAACAGACCCTTTTCCCAAGAAGATATACGAAGGCCAACAGATATATGAAACGGTGCTCAACATCACTAGCTATTAGGGAAATGCAAGTCAAAACTATGAGATACCACCCCACACCTATTAGAATGGCTATTTATCAACAAGACAAATAATAAGTGTTGGAGAGGTTGTGGAAAAAAGGGAACTGTCATTCATTCACTGCTGGTGTGAATGTAAACAGCCACTATGGAAAACAGTATGGAGGTTCGTCAAAAAATTAATAGATACCATATGACCCAGCAATCCCTCTTCTGGGTATCTACCCAAAAAAGTTGAAAACATTTATTTGCATAGATACGTGCACCCTTCTGTTCACTGCAGCACTATTCACAGTGGCCAAGACATGGAAACAACCAAAGTGTCCTTTGATAATGATTGGATAAATAAGATGTGGTACATATATAATAAGGAATACTACTCAGCCATAAGAAAGGATGAACTACTGCCATTTGCCACATGGATTGAGATTATGCTAAGCGAAATAAGTCAGACACAAAAAGAGCTAAGAACCATATGATCTCACTCATATGTAGGATATAAAACAGTACCATGGCTACCAGTACTGTGGTTACGAGGGAAGGGGGTGAGGGGTAATAAAAAGTAAAGCAAGCCACATATATGGTTATGGAAGATGATCTGACTTTGGGTGGTGGGTACACAATGCAATATGCATCATAGAAATCTACACTTTGAAACCCAGTCACCCCAATAAATTTAATAAAAAATTTAAATATTGTAATAATTTACAATTCTATTTATTTATGCACCAAGACTTTTAAATCTGGTTTCAACTTTATACTTACAGCCCATCTCAATTCAGACTAGCTCCATTTCAAATGCTTGATGGCCACGTTAGTTAGTGGCTACCATTTGCTACTGGTAGCAAATGGTAGCCACCTTAGTTAGTGGCTACCATTTGCTACCATAGAAAAAGGTCTTGTATTATAATTTAAATATTCTTTTCCGAACAACCCTAAGAAATTAGGCCTACTTTGATCATCAACTTAAGCTCAGTAACTTCTCTTACATTCTGGGTTGGCAGGATAGCTGCTTAAATACAGCCTAACAAGAGTTTTATTTTTAGGAAAGTCTAAAGTCCTTCAGTACAGATTTTGGATAATGTAAATCATTTTATATGCACGGACCCCTATTACCTCAGTTACAGAAAGTACAGTTAGTATTTTGTCATATCAATGCCCATCCATTTGAGAAACTTATCTGTTTCTAGAAGAATATTTCACCCCATCACAGTCATAAAAAATGACCTGAGTCTGAATATAGGTATCTATTTGCCTTTGGATCTGTAATGTTCTCTGCTCTCAATCTTCAGATGAAGTTCCTGAAACCTACTTGTTTTCCAAGACTTTTAAAGGAGACTGACACACCCCTCGACTAGATGTCCACAGAGAAAATCCTAAAAGAACCAAGGGTGGAATAGCAGAACAACTCCTTGAAACCGAGTTGAAGGTACAGCCTCCAAAAGCTTTGAGGCCTTTGCATTCCCCAGGCAGATATGCTGAATAAGGTATTTTTGCTCAAGGAATAGGGGTCTTTTGAGCCAGGGGCTGTTACTGAAATTAAAATTCCATCCTGATCACCTCACACACTTGACCAGAGACTACAGAGGTTTGAAAAATCCCTTTTATTTTGTCACACATGCAACATGAAGAAATCATGTGGCTTTGCTTTTTTTCTAAACAACAAAATCACTGTTTAAAGAAGCAGTGGTCTGTATTGCTTATGACATGCTAAGCACTATGCCAAGTATGTGCAGAGGAAGCACCTAGGAAATCCTGTGAGGATGCACAGTCTGATTCTATAGTCCAGATATGAGGACTGAGATTCTGCATTTCTGAGAAGCTTCGAGATGCTACAGGTGCTGCTGGTCCTTGAACCTCAGGTTGAGTAGCAAGGCTTTATGTGTATGTACTAATGCAATCTTCTCTACTATATCAGGAAATCTTTGCTATTATTACCCCTACTTTAAAGATGAAGAAACTGAAGCACAAGAGACTATTCTGCCCAAGCTCACAACCACTGGGAAGTGGAAGAGCCCAATCCTGGATCTAAGTAAGGACTCTACTGTGTAACCTCCTCACTTTGCAAGTTCAAATGCAAGAAAATAGAACAAATATTTCATTTTACCATTAAACCTAAAACACAAACGAAACTATTTAAGACGATATTCATGACAAGGTTTTACTATTCCTAATTAAAATTTTTATTAAACATTTGAGAATTTATATGATTTCATTCCACACAGTTACCCCCACCCTCCAATATTCAATTTCAAAAGGTTGCTAGAAGCATACGGTCAAATGTTCATAATTTTTGCTACCCTTTTCAAATAACTGGAGAATGGACCATGTACCCAGAGTGTGTGTGTATGTGTATGTGTGGGGGAGGGATAGTCAATGTGAAGAAGGGTTGGTGGAGGATGCAAATTAGAATATGAGAAGTCAGAATTCTAAATCCTTGCTACTAAGTATTTATTTGAAGTATAGGCTGGTAGCCTGGGAAACAACATTTGCAGCGCTTGGGAACTGGTTGGAAACACAGAACCTTAGGCCCCGCCCCATACCGGATGAATCAGAATGTGCATTTTAACCGGAACCCCAGATGACCGTGTGTACTTTGAAGTTTTAGACGTAAAACACAACTTGATTTAGATTCACTCCCCTACCAGAGTCTCTAGAGCAGCAGTTCTCAACAGGGGTCGCCTAAGACCATCGGAAAACACATATATAATTACATATTGTTTTTGTGATTAATCACTATGCTTTAATTATGTTTAATCTGTAACAATGAAATTGGGGGTCACCACAACATGAGGAACTGTATTAAAGGGTCGCGGCATTAGGAAGGTTGAGAACCACTGCTCTAGAGGGTCCTGGCCTCAAAGACAATGGGGGGTAACAATACCTTTCCTATGCGGACATTTCATTTTTAACCCTGGGGCACTGCCGCTGATTAAGGCATGCCCCGCCCTCCCAGGACCACTACCATCGCCTCCAGGGCTGGACCCAAAGGCTGCGGGGCACTGCCCCGCAATGCGACTGCGGCTGCTGCGCAGATCACCACACCCCTCCCGCGCGCGGCCCGCCAAAATGTACTCCACGGGCCCCGGCACCACGCGGAAGGCCGCACGTGGACACCCGCCACACGGCTTCCAGACCGGGAAACGCGAGGTAGAAGAGAAAAAGCCTCGGGCCATGCGCCCCAGTGCTGGGTACCGCGGGCTTGGGCAGTGGATCGGAGGCCCTCACCTTCAGCACCAAATCGGTCAGGTAGACGGCAGTCCAGCCGCCCACCACCACCACCACCAGCGACACCGGAATCATGGCAGCGACGGAGGCAGCGGAGGATAGGCGAGCCCCCGGCGTCCTCCTCCCTGCGACCGTGCAATGAACCGGACGCGCGATGCCTACAACCACACCATCTGCACAGGAACAAGCCCGGCCACCGGCTCCTTTCTCGCGATGGCGCCGTTTCCCACCGGCCTTTTCCGGTAAAACACGGACCGACGCATGCGCGCCGGAAAAGGGAGGCGGGGGCTTATTTTCGTGGGACACTGGCGCGCTGACGTCCCGGCATCTGTTCAGAGGCGGCTGCCGGCCCTCTAGCGATTTCTTAGGCTTTGTCCCTCCCTGCTGTCTGCTCATGCTCTCTGGTTCCAGTTTAGGGTTTCCTGTTGCTTTTTAGTTTGGGGTTACCTGAAGTAATAATCGTCCCCACCTCCCAGACCTTGTTATAGGTATCCAGATTTAAGTTAATACTTTTATTTGTTCTTTTTATTGAAGTGTCATTTACATTTAGTGAAATAATACAGAAGTTAACTGTCCATTTCATTGTTTTAATAAGTTTTATTTGTGTAGCCTAATAAAAATAAAGAACATCTACATCTCAGGAATTTCCTTCCTGGTCAATCCCCTCCTCCCTTCTTTAAGTAAATAGAATCATACAATAGGCACTCTTGTGTCTGGCTTATTTTGCTCAAAATACAGGGTGGGGCAAAAGTAGGTTTACAGTTGTTTGTATGAAAAAATAAAACAATTGCCCTAGCTGGTTTGGCTCAGTGGATAGTGTCAGCCTGTGGACTGAAGGGTCCCGGGTTCAATTCCCCGTCAGGGCACATGCCTGGGTTGTGGGCTCAATACCCAGTGTGGGGCGTGAAGGAGGCAGCCAATCAGTGATTTTCTCTCATCACTGATGTTTCTATCTATCTCTCCCTCTCCCTTCCTCTCTGAAATCAATAAAAATATATTTTAAAAATAAGTAAAGTAATTAATAAATAGCAATACAAGAATAAACCATGTTTCACATATTCGCAACTGCAAGCCTACTTTTGTCAAACCCTGTATTTGAGAGCTGTAGCAGAGGAGAATTTGAGACCCCAAAATATGCCTTTTTGGCATATTATTTTAAACTGGTTATTAAAAACAGACTTAAGAAAAGCTCTGAAAACCAACTAGAAGTTACCCGTTTGTAAGAGATATTTACATTTATAAAGGAATCTTTATTTGCAAAGGTGTGGCCCTCTCTGTACCAGGAAGAGTAGGAGGAACACTTTATCAATGGAAAAGGCAAACACCTTAATCCTGCATAACACCTTATCCTTGTTTACTGTGCTTTTCTTGGTCACCTCCCATACTGGCCTCCTCCCAAACCCCAATATCCTTTGTCTTCAGCTGGAGATAATACTAAAGGTGGTGGCTTTAGCCATTTTGGAGATCTACTCAGTTTTCCTGAGTTTACAGGTTATTAAACTTTTAAAAATCCTCACCCAAGAATATGTTTTTATTGATTTTTAGAGAGAGAGGGAGGGAAAGAGAAACTTCAGCGTGAGAAAGAGACATTGATTGGTTTTCTCCCATACATACCCTGACTGGGGATCGAACCCAAAACCTAGGTATCTGCCTTGCCAGGGAATGGAATCCAACACCTTTGGGTGCATGGGATGATGCTCCAACCAGGGCAGGTTTTTTGTTGTTGTTGTTGTTGTTTTAAATCCCACAGGAACTGTTGTTAAGCCCTGTCACTATAGGTCCTAAATTTGGCATTAGAAAAAAAAAATCTCATCCCACTATTTCATATTTATTCCTATTACTGTCCATTTAAAATTTCTTTTTAAAGTTATGTAGCTTAGAGCAATTGAATCAGAATCTCAGCATGGGACCCAAGCATTAGTATTTTTTTAAGCTCCTTAGGTCATTCCACTGTGCAGCCAAGACAGAACCACTGAACTAGATGATCTCTAATGGGAAGGAAAACTAATATTTATGGAGTGTTTTCCTGCATTCTCTTAATGTTCAAGCCTTTAGAAGTTATTTGTTCTACCTTTTCTGGAAAAGCATCATCAATAAAAATACTAATACCTGCCCTGGCCAGGTTGCTCAGTTGATTGGAGCATTGACCATATAGCAAAAGGTTGCAGGTTTTATGCCCAGAGGGCTCACTCTTTCTCTCTCTCAAAAAACAAAAACAAAAAACAACCACCAAAAAACCAAAAAACTAATACTTAGACCCAAATATCAAGGACATAATACTGTCTTAAGAACAAGTATCCCAAATAGAAATGCACCTCCAAAGCATCCTCTACAGGAAAAATAAAGTGTAATACTAGACCTATATTACAGATATTGCTACTAGTTTGCCTCACTGTCCATACTTTTCCTAAAATTTTAATAATTTAGCATCTTAACTCTCTATCTTGAGAGACCTTATGATTCAGCTCCTTGTATACATGTGTGTGTATGTGTTACTATAAAATGTTTTAAATTATTTTAGACATAGCTGGGTGTAAATTATAAGAGTTTATAATCGAGCATCCTAGTTTTCCAGATACAGGTGTCCCAAAAGTCTTATTGCAGTTTTAGGTTTTGATAATTTCAGAAGTATAAATGAAACATACTTACAAAAAAAGCATCACCTGAATGTTTACTTCAATTGCTTCTACACTTACTCATTTTGTGAAGTTTGAATAATTTTATATTTCAGAATTTTTACCTCCCCTAATAGAGGATGGCAAATATTAACTGAAAAAAAGTAATTGAAATACGTTTACTGTTCAAAAAATGTTAAGATCAGATAAGCATGAAGGAAATTGAAATAATTTTACTTTCAAATGATGTTTTGTGTAAGTTTGTAGAATTTGTACTTCTGACGTTATTAAAACCTAAAACTGCATTAAGACTACTGGTGCACAATTGTATTTGAGCTGACCTTTGCTCTTATATAACTCCCTGGGAGAAGAATATTAACTTAAGAATGGAAATGTCTTCCCTTTTGTTAGCCTGAAGCCTTGTCTGGACCACTTGCTGGGACAAGTACCAGCTGCTGTGTAGCTATCTGATTACCCAAGATATGAAGTAAATAAGTTGATTGTGTTTTTCTGTTGCAAACCTAAAAATTTGCTTATTCAACTGACTTGGTGTTCTCATCAGGGACCCAGCAGTCAAAACAAAACATTGAATTGAATCCTGCTGGTTTCTGGAATTTATCAGTAGTGGAAGCCAGCTGGTGGCAGCAGAAGAGACAAGATAGAGGATGCAAGATGGCAGTAAAAAAAATATGCCTAAATTCCAGAAGATAAAGGTATTCTTCCTTAGAATAAATTTGTGACCTAATTACAAATCATTTCAGGTTTCTGTCAAGTAACTTTCAAGTAAAGGGTACATAACCAAGCTTTTATTCATATTATTTTGTTTAACACATTAAGCACCCAGCCTGTTTTGTCTTCCGGATGGAAAGTATAATGTCAGTCATCGGTGAGTGACTGGGCGCTTAATCTGTTAATATTTTTTAGAGGGGCACCAAATATACATTTTGGCTGAATACAAAATAGTTGCATGTTAAAGTCAATATTTGCATGAAGCAGACTATCACCATCTATATATATATATATATATATATATATATATAAAACCCTAATATGCAAATAGTCCGAATGGTGGAACAACTGAACAACTGGTCACTATGATGTGAGCTGACCACCAGGGGCACACGTGGAACATGGCGGGCGTCAGCAGCAGGAGGCAGAGCGCGAAACATGGCGGGCGTCGGCCATGGCAGGATGGTGGAGCAGGTGAGCAGGGGCGCCAGACCAAGGTGGGGTGCCGGTCACTGTCATCAGGGTGAGCCTCTGGTGGTTACTGAAAATTCTTTGCTCCCACGCACCATGGTCCCGTCTGGCGCTCGCACCCGCTTGGCAGTGCCCAGCACTGGTCCCAATCGCTCAGCACTGTCAGCGGGTGCTAGTGGTGGCTGCCCGCCCCAAATTCCCTGAAGGGCTTTCCCCCACCTCCCCCTGCTTCTGAAGGGCGATCAGGGCAGCAGCCACTGCTCACAACTGCTGATGGCACAGGCCCAGCTTGCATCCACTTATGGTGTCAGCCCAAATCACTTTGTGCTATCAGCGGATGCGCCGAGCGGCAGTGGTGAGAGCAGGGCTGCTGGCAGACAGGGGACCAGAGGCTGTGGCATGAGGGGCCGGGTGGGGCACAGAGGATGGGCCGAGACCCGCCCCTGTGCCCACTGCAGCCTCACGGCCCACAGTTCCTTTCAAGGTGCACGAATTCATGCACTGGGCCCCTAGGTTTTTTTTTTATTTTAATAATTTTTATTTCTTAAAGTATTACAAAGAATATTACATATGTCTCCTTTTTTCCCCCCTTGACATTCCCCTGGCCCCTACCCACCGCCTCTCCCCCGCCCCGTGTCTTGTGTCCATTGGTTAATCTTATATGCATGCATATAAGTCCTTCAGTTGATCTCTTAATCCCCCCCCCAAACCCTCCCCACGCTTCCCACTGTAGTTTGACATTCTGTTCAATGTTGCTCTGCCTCTGTATCTACCCCTGTTCATCAGTCTATACTGGTCCCCTTTATTTGTCCCAAACTCACTGGAGTAGTCTCAACCTCACCAGGGCCGTCAGAGCCTCACCAGGGCCGTTACAGCCTCACCGAGGCCGTCCTGGCCTCACCGGGGCAGTTTCAACCTCACCGGGGCTGTCCCGAACTCACCGGGGCCATTTCAACCTCACCGGGACCGTCCCTACCGCACGGGGGCCGTTTCAACCTCACCGGGGCCGTCCCGACCTCACCGGGGCAGTTTCAACCTCACCGGGGCCATCCTGACCTCACTGGGGCCGTTTCAACCTCACCAGGGCCGTCCCTACCACCCGGGGTCGTTTCAACCTCACCGGGGTCGTCCCTACCACACTGGGGCTGTTTCAACCTCACTGGGATCGTCCCTACCTCACGGGGGCCATTTCAACCTCACCAGGGCCGTCCCTACCTCACGGGGGCCTTTTCAACCTCACCGGGGCTGTCCCTACCTCACGGGGAGGGCCCCTAGTTTTATAATAAACTTCTAAGATACCAGAATCACCATGAAATATTAAAATTAGATATTACTAATTTTAAAACTATTATTACAATGTTACTATTAAAATGTTAATATTCAGATTTTAAAGTTTGACATTCCATTCAGGAATATTTATTTCTCATCAATGTAAGCTTGCTTCTTGGGGTCATTATACTCCACATTTATGACACCAAATTACTAGTACACAAGTCAGGATAAGCTAGGCATTGTTTGGGTAAATCCTAGAATCCCAGTGGCTTAAAAAAACAAAAGATTTATTTTTGTTTGTGCTATGTATCTATCATGGGCTGGCAGACTAATGGAAACTCCACCATTTTCTCATGCTCACACCTCAAAATGAGGCTCAGGGTTCATTCACTGCAGCAGACAAAGAGAGGACTAGGGTGTTTACCACTGGCAGCAAAATGTTATGGCCTAGATATTCACAGGTTACTTTCACAAACCCAAAGTAGTCAAAATACCTGTGCCCAACTTTAAGGTCAGAATGAATGTAATCCTCTG